TGGAACAATACTCACCCTGAAGTTGGTGCTGAAGACGTGTGGGTAGCAGTGTGCCACCTGAAGAATGCATTTGACACTCTGACAAAGCAGCTCTGGAGTGTCCACGTTTTCAAGGATGGACTGCAGATTGCTCATCACCATCTGAAACACACAGCAGGCCCCATCTACTGTACGTCTCTGCAGGGCTTTGCAGCGTCTGCAATAACATTGCTATACACGTCTATGTGATGTGAAATGATATGAATGATATGGCAACTGGTTAAAAATGGACCAAAATATAATAAACACCCCAGGTAGAACATGTGTTTACATGCAACAACACTGCACAGCTCTTTGAAGACTGTTACTGTAGCTACTGTCAAACTGCAGCTCTTAATTCAAACTGACTGAAAACAACACCCACTACCATGGCTCTGGCTAACAGCAACCAACCTTATGCATGGTGTGAGTTTCAGTGCAGGTGCTGTGAATAGTTTAACAGATTACTATCAATAAGCCTGTACAACCCTCTGCTGTTCCAGCACTAGTATACACGGGCATGTAACATAAGGGTTCTCACACCTACATCTTACTGAAGCTGTGACAGTGAACAGCTGCGTGGTGCTGATGCAGAGACAGGTCAAAATGAACTGGGCAGATATTAGAGTTGTACTGGTGAAAAGCATCCATGTCTTTACCTGCATGATGTGAGAAAAGGCCTTCCTCTCCCCAGCAGCCTCCAAAGCGCGCTGTGCTGCCACCAGGTACAACAGCTTCACCTCATCACGACTGCTTGAATTGAACTTGACAAAGAGCCACTTGAAGATGCGCTCTGCCTCATAGCTGAGTACGGTGCACAGGATACCAAGGCAGGCTGCAGCATCCTGACGCAGCTCCCACAGCATCTTACTGCTAAAAACATCAACACAGGGAAAAAACAACTTTAGAGCGGCCTGACTATTATTTCGATCAGCTTGGATGGACAGCGTCGGTGCACGGCCATGACTCTTCAACCCTGATCGCTCAGACTCGCCACGCAGGAAGCTCTAGGAAGAGTCCTGGTGGTTCCAAACTTGTTCCACATATGGATGATGGAGGCCACCGTGCTCCTGAGGACCTTCAGTGATGCACAGACTTCCTCAGATCTATACACTCCTACCTCAGAGGTCTACAGAGCACTCTCTGGACTTCATGGCTGGGTTTGTGCCCCCTCACTGTCAAATACGCGACCTTGTATAGACAAGTGTGCACTTTTCCAAATCATGTTCAATCAGCTGAATTCACCACAGATGAACTCCAACAGAGTTGAAGAAGGATGTGACAGATGATCAACGGGAACAAGAAGCACCTGAGCTACATTTTGAGGGTCATGGCAACAAAATAACAACATAAATATGACCTATTTGCAAGAATTTAAAGCTTCGTCATAGTTACGAGCCTGTGTTGGTGGGTTATCTGTTTCTTAATGTGTGTATGCAAATTCACCTGTGCAGGGGCTCGGCTGTGATTGGTGGACCT